CTACAAACAACTTGTATATAAAATTCTACTCTTGATGTAATTATTAATCCAAATGAAAAAGCATTCGCAGCACATAAAAATAGCGCCCAATGCGATGAAGGAGTTTTATACCAAGGATTTTTTATTATCGAACGATTTGAGGTTTCGTTATTAGATAAAAGTGGAGTAGATTCGTTAACTGTCTCTGGCATTATTTCTCTTTCACTTTCAAAAGGCACCATAATTAAATTGAATCTTTGGTTTTAAATAAAGAGAAACAATTAGAATAACGAAAGGGATATACGTATTATTTTATAGCGGCTATCCGGTATAATTCTATTCCATTCATTTAAGTTTGCTACACACAGTTGTATAAACTCACATCCTTTGTAAAAGTAAGGATTACATATTTGGGGTTGGTGATCCATTACACGTAAACTTTATTACACAAAACGCGTATATCAATTTTTGTTGTGTACTGTACATAATATAAAATTATATTATTCGTTTTCTTAATGCTAATATTGACGTTCAAAGTATTTATTAAAATAGGCGTCAATTTGTATCGGCATGTAAATAAACACAAATAAACATCCTAACCAAAATTTCTTAGAAACTTGTAAAGGGCATTAGTAATTTTCTAATAAATTCTATGTTTATTATGATACGTGAAATATCAAATGATCTTTCGCAATCATATTAAGGTTTGATTCGTACATCTTAAATATTTAAGATTTCCTTTAATGGAGAAACCAGAAACAAATTAGTCGATAGGCTATTGTATAATCGATCTTTCAAAAAAAGAAAAAAAAAAAATATTTGATCTCAACTTTATCTTTGGCTTCGATAATAACGAAACTTTAACTTTTATATAATATAGCATTGCTAACGTTAAATATCTCTTAAAATGTTTAAATATATCAATCATCAAATATTCGAGTTAATTATATGTATTTAATAATACTAATTACGGTTAAAGTCCTAATATATAAGGAAAAATAAAATGCCGAATCATGCGCTGTCGATAACAAAATAAACCAGTAATCAAATTAGTGGAGACCATTAAATACCACATGGTTAAATGTCACATATTGATTAATAATGATTAATAATGTACTTTACAGAAACCTATATATTTTGATAACAGTATAGTTAAAATATAGTTAAAATATAGTTAAAATATAATTTAAAATATAGTTAAAATATTAGTATTCTATTAACTTACTTATAACTACCTTTTTAATAGCTCGTTATTTGCTAATAGAAATTTTTAAAAAAATAACGTTATAAAATTAATCATAAATATTTATAAATTAAAGTTATAATTAAAATTCAAACTAGACAAATTATATATAAAATTGGTCAAAGAATATTTTTTAATAATAAATTAAAAATAGGTTCATAATAAAGATTTATAGTTATAACTGTATAACCGATTTTTAAAAAACTTTAATTATTCTAATTTTTCTTATACATAATATAATCTTATATATATACATATATATCTAATTAATAAATTGTATTAATAATAAATATTATATATAATAATAAATAAATTTATTATTATTATTATTTATGATAATACTGTATTTTAAATATTTATTTTTTTATAAAAACATATTTATTATATATATATATATATATACTGTATCTAGTATATTTTAATTATATTATAATAATATTAAAACTATATATTTAAAATATTTTAGCAATATAGCTATAAGAGAGTTAATAGAATTATAAAAATATTTTTGATATTTTTAAGATATTTTCAATATATTTTAATAATACCTTTAATATATTTTTAAAAAATAATATTTTAAAGGCAATTGCTAATTTTAACCGGGGGGTGCTATATCTCAAAAACGTACTAAGTAAACGGGATCGGGTACTATAAGTAAAAATGTTCAGGGCCCCTGAAAAACCTCACGAAAAATGAGATTGGGTCCTTATATTAGCTCTATATTATATTATATAAAAAAAATAATAATTCTTAATACCCGCACCCTAACCCTATAAATAATTAGGGGAGGGATTTCCCCCCCGGTTAAATGTAGTTATTTTCTATTTTAAATATAGAAATATTATATATATATATATAATATACATATAATTATTATATATATATAAATTATATTTAGCAAAATCAGAGGTTTCCGCATTATAAATCAACACTATGAAATCATACGACACTTAACCATGTGACATTTAATGTATCCCATATACTAAATTTGACAAAATTTAAGAATTGGACCTTTATTTGTCATCAAACGCAAAGATGCTCTAATTGGGTAAGATCGATCGACAGCATGTAATTCGACAAAATTTTTTTTTAGTATATCAGATATCACAAAGTATATTGCAGTGCTGATCAGCAAAATTTTCCTATAAACCATAATATCGTGTGAAAATATGTACTACAATAAGCAATGACATTGTCGCACAAAATCGGAGGCACAATCTTAAACCTGATACGTATTAACAGTTACATTTTGATAACTACGTCCAATAAAATTTTATTTTTGGACTTTGACTTGGACTAATCCAAATGTCCATGTCCATATCTTTTTCGGAATATTTCGGACATATATCCTAATTTTGGCTTCGACCTTTCTTATTCTATCCGGGATATTTTGGAATAGAAAGCTCACATGATTGAATTGGACTAAATGCCTTATCGTAGAAAAATATTGACAAATATGGACATAGTCCATAAATGTCCATGTCCAATGGTCCATGTCCAACACTGATTATACTACATATAAAATGTATAGATTACTGTTAGAAAGCAACATGAATACCCGATATATTTCTAATTGATAAATGATAACATTTGAGATCATGCGGAATTTTCCTTATCATTATCTATTGTCGGTCACTTGTAGTGGATCAGGAAACCGGATCGCCCGTGGGATATACGTACGTACGGGAACCCCCTAGCACACCCGCAAAAATTTTCCGGAAACGTGATTTTGGCCAATCAAATTTCAAGATCAGGTGTAACGTAAACAATCGAAGCAAAGGCAAAAAAACAGAAATAACTGAATTTTAATTAAGACCATCTACTGCGGCCTAATTAAAAATGCTCCTTGTGAAATTTTACTATTAGACATTGAGTTACTCCGACCCTAACCCTAACTACAACGCTGTTTTATTCTTGTTAAAAAATTACAGGGATGGGAAAATTTTTGTGGGTACGCTACCTAAAATTACGTACAGACGGGTCAACTCGCGAATCACCCATGGGATGTATGTGAATTATGTCACCCGCATGGGTTAACCCGCGGAAAATCCACTTGCTATTACCAGGTATTAATCGCTGCTTAAAATTTGAATATTTGATTAACATGAAATTTACAAAATCATGATTTTTCAAAGATTTTTATTTATTTATTTATTTATTCAAATGATTATAGCACGTTGCAAAAAAGACGTGACCCCACAATTTTTGTAATGAGACCGAGGAAAATTTCTGAGATTCTAAATTGTCTATTAATTCATATTTATTTGAAATCGGTAATATTCTTAAACTCTACAGAACCTTTTATTCTCATGACATAGTGATCTGCAGAGGTCATAAAAGAATTTATTTACGTTAGTCACTAGGTGTCTCGACCCATTGTTGAACAATGGGATAACGTGATAAAAATAAATCACATGATGCGAGACCGATAGGCACCAGTACAACAATTTGTTATAAACTGCCTTTTATGTTTTAACAGAAAAATTCCTCATGAAAATTTTTATATTATACAGCTATCCTAATTTAACGCTAACCATAATAGCTGTTAGAATAACTATTTAACACTAATTATAAAGAGCTATTGATTAGAATGATTATTTGATACTTTGATGTTCACGCTACACCTGATGATCAGCTAAAATTCACATTGCCGTCCTCATTCACGCACTGCTGGTCTACTTTCTACATCTTGTGTATTATGTAAAGGAAACGTAGATTGTTCACTTCTATTCCATGGAATATTGGAAAAATCTGCAAATTGTCCATTATATATTGTAAAAAAAAAAAAAGGTTTAAATTTAACCCATCATTTAATAATAGATCTAACATCTAGTAATGAATAAAAAAAATGCCGATTCAAATATAATGAATAAAACAAAAGATCTATTCAAATATAATTTAAAAAAATGAAACCGAAAGAACTACTTAAATTTAGGGAGTTGTTATTGCCACCGGTGTATAAAATCTGAAAAAAATTCTTTGTACACATGTGCACATAAGAAAAATTTTTTTGTGCACATTATAAAAATTTTTGTGCACTATAATTAAATCGAATTTTGAAAAGGTTTGTAT